GGGTAAAATAAGAGCAGGGAATAATTACCACCGTATTTCTGCTCGTATTTCGCCTAGAATCGAGTTGAAAGAGGCAGATTCGAGCCAAAGGAAGGGGATTCTACTTTTTGGAGTGAAGATTGACATCCCAGAGCAGATTATTCCCATCTTTATGAGTATGACTTCTTTGATTTCTATTTTCCTCTCTCTCTCTCTCTCTCTCTCTCTCTCTCTCTCTCTATGGAGTAGAACTTTCTCTTACTTGGGTATGAAGAACCCTAGTTCCATGTATTAGGGATCATGAGTGTAAGACTTTTGGATTGATATACTGTTTGATTATAATCGGTTGAAGTGTGTTTATTGAGTCAATTGAATCCTGATCAACTTCTTTTGATTTCTGCTGCAACCTAAGATAGATAGAATCTGATTAGGTTGTTAGAGATTCTTTAATAGATAGAAGTGAGTTGATTGTATGAGAGTCAATAAATTCACTGCTTTATAGGAATCTGTTTCCAGTAGTGGAGTTCTGTGTTAATTGCCTTAGCATTCTATCCCGGTGAAGACTAGTCGTCTGTCGGTTAGTCTGTCGAAGAGGGCTTGGTCAGCTTAAGAGATTCCAATCTACTGTCGGATCTTCCGCAGTTTAATCAACAGTGAATCAAACAAAGGAAATTACAACTTGGACCTAACTAAGGAACTAGGGGGACTTATTCCCGAGTGACTCTTCTCTTGCTTCAGAAAACAGAACAATTTACTGCGCTCTTTCTGCTTTAGTTAAACTCATTCTCACTAAACTTTTCCTGCTAGATAATAGATAATCACGGATTAGGCAGTACATCTAGGCCATGGGTTGACATTTATTACTTGATTCCACTATACTGCATTTCCATTCTGCGATTACACTTGGTCGCAATTAGTATTGTGTCGTAGCGTGTCATAAAGCCCGGTGGAAAGTATTTGTCAGAGATTTTATTTTTTTCCATTTTTCATTTTTAATTCGGTTCCTTAGAGTCGTTTCAATATAACATAAAATAATTAATATAAATATGAAATGAATTTTCTCGAAACAAATTGGTGACGGTTGGAACAGACACAAAATTGATTTGTGTCGGTTTTACCAGCGGTTTCCCAAAATTGACTCAAATCGGTTTAATGGTAATAGAATAGTCATGCCCCAGGGTCGTATTTCACAAGGGTTTCTAATGTATAACTATTCACACTATATTATCCATGCTCGAACATAATAGTAAAGACGTTCATGGTAGTTTATTCGAGTTAGAAGAAATTAAATAAAGCAAGCAAGAAAAGTAAAAGATGTTAACGGTTTTTATCAAGTTATATAGGTACGTAAAAGTAAACATACTTCTATTGAATAAAGAAAACATACTAGCATCATATATATAAACACTCATTCATATAATGCCCCAATGAATTATCTATAGCATCACTTTATCCATTCTACTAAGGTCATTCTATTCGAGTTTTCGTCACATGCATTAGGCACTTGACAAGGTAATATGTGCTTTCTCTTCATCGCATCACCTAATCAGAAAAAAATGATTAAATAGGTATGATTTAAATATTAAATAGAAGAGAAAGTACTAAGATGTATTGATATAAAGGGAAAATGAATCAAGTATGAGAGTGATAAACATTATAAATAGAGTAACATCAGACGTCTCTACTTTTTTGAAAATTTTGAGAGTCTTAGAAGTTCAACTTTTATACGTCGCATGTCGACTCTTTACTTTTTGTAGCACAAGTGGGTTGATAAGTAGCCTTAATCAAACAAGAGCAATTTATGCACCTTAGAACTCGCTAAGGGTGTTCAAATGGATTGGTTACCGTGGTAACCATATTAACCATTAGCATTCGATTAATTTGGTTTGGTTAATTTGGATAATTGGTTTGGTTAAATAATTTAGCTTATTTGGTTTAAGTGGTTTGGTTTCAACACTGCTAACCAATGAAACCAATTAACCAATTAATGATACACCTAATATACAAAATTATTTATACTTCCATGCAACCAACCAAACCAAACTTTCGTGATTGCATATTTGATTTCCATGTGCACAACAAACCAAAACATTATGGATAAAAAATTAAATGGGTCCGCCTATATTTACTAAACCAAAAGATTTTGGACAACTACTAGACTTTAGGATTACATACAATACCATGACAACCACCTCAAACTACGTATAGTTGAAGTGTTTTGTAGGAGGGCTTTAACTTCCTGATGAGTGGTATTGGTATGTATTTATGTTAAGGGGTTTGTTGTAAGCTACCTATATTAGGTGTAGAGATGATGCATGATGTATTAACTCCAATAATGATGATAATTATGGATGGTTAATCTTATTATTATTGCTTATATAAAATGATAATTTACGTTTGTTTTCATGTAATGTTATGTTATTTGGTTAATCCAATTATCTTATTAACCAAACCAATTAAATTTTGGTTTGGTTAATTTGGTTTTCGTGTTAATTTGGACGGTTTGGTTAAGACATTTTATTCCATGGTTAATGAAATTCAGTCTTAATTGGTTTGGTTATTACCACGGTAACCAATTTGAACACCCCTAGAACTCGCATAAGTGCTTCGTTTAACTCATTTCCCTCTATCTATGTGGAGAAGCATATGCAAACAAGGGGTGTAAGAAGGTTTATTCATGCTCTCCAAGCACAATACTCAAATGGCACTCAGCTTAGCGAAAGATTTTACTAGATAGCAACATCATATGGTCGCGAATTGATGTTCAGTTGAACCATTTATATTTCCTCTATACAATGAGAGATTGCCTCGCACATGGTTTTACCCCACACTTTATTTATGTCAACAATGTTTTTATATTGCTTTTTCATTGTATGATTTTCGAATGTATAGAGATGTGATTCAATCCCCCTTTTGCTTTTAAGAGAAGAAGACTCGTTTGGAAGAGTACACAAACTCATAAAAGATAGTGATAAGCATTATAGCCAAACATTTGAATGGTTTTTATTCTCATGACAAGAACATCCATCAAATCCACTACATTAGCCTCCATAGCTCACACATTAACACAAAGAATAGCAATTCAAAAGTAAGATGAGCTTTAAAATTGCTTTGGAGAGTGTGACATTATTTCAAAATAATTGAAATTTTTTTTTTCAATGCACACTCAAATTGTCCCCCATATGCATGAACATTTATCGAGGTGGTACATGAAGTGCAGTCGAAACCCACCCCACACATATTATATGATAATGTTCTCATTGGCCAAAGTAAAGGAGTAAATGTAAATAAAAGATTAGCTGGATCGTTGAAATGAAATAATGAATCATACACAATCGGCTAGTCCCTTTCGATTTTGTCCCTTAACGTAACAGAAAGGAAATAGAAAGAAAAACGGAGAGAGAAAATGCATCTATCTCCTCACATACGACAATCACCTAGTAGAGGTTTGCGTAATGACTAGTATTCCTTGAACTAGAAAAGTGTGAGTTGTGTTTAGATTATGATGTGGCTCAAAGAATAAGACCATGATCACATTTCCTTTTTTAAATTAGGGTGGTTATAGTAAATTTAGGTCAACGTTTAGTCATGGGTATGATTATGATATACTCACATCTGGCCAACCGACCCGGCAAAACACAAGTTTGTATTAACACACACTATAGCAAGTAGAGGTGGTAAATTGATTAGATTAATGGATTGTTAGATTGGATTGGTGGATCTATGAATTAAATAGATTGGTGTATTCATACATTGAATGAAATGGATTAGTGGATCAACCCATGAATCCAAATGACATCCAACCCTTGGACCATTATGTAACTTTTGAATAGTTTGGGTATTAAAATGCCATTATGAAAAATTTTAGGTACCAAAATATAATTTTCCAATGATATTTTTCATATAAAATAAAAATTAGTTACAAAATGTAAAATATAAAAAGTGTAGGTACTAAACTATAATTTGCATCACATCAATTGCAATTGCAAATCAATTGCATATTTGCATTGATGTGATGCAATAAAAATAAGATGAGTTTGGATTACAAAAAATTGAGATTGCAATAATGAGTACAATTGTAATTGCATGGATGTAGATTCTCTAATAACTACTAAGGGCTTGTTTGGAGAATATGAATATAAATCTAGAGATTATCAACAATCTAAAGATTTTAACTCTTCGAACTGTTGAAATAGATTTTAAAATGTTTATTGTTTGGTAACTGTGGTGGTTAACATTCTATGAAAATAAAAATTCTATTTTATATTAAATAACATATTTATGCTTAGTAAAAGTAATTAGAGTGGTTCGAGATATATGGAGAACTTTTTTAATATATATATTTAATATAATAAAAAAAAGAAAGGAATAAAGTAGGAGGAAAACTCTTACGGATCAAGATATAGAATCTATCTGATTATGAGAAATTTGATATTCGTAAATTCTTTAGATTTGAAATCTCTAAAGTTAAAATCCATAATACAAAATCAACAAAAAAATATGACTTTCTACAAAATCTATCTATTCATTAATTCTATAACCTAAATCCTGTTCTCCAAACGACCCCTAAGAGCATCTCCATTGCATTTGTGTTTTTTATTGTTACTTCATTTTTTTGCAATCCAACTCATTTTACTTTCATTGCACCACATCAATGCAATTAACTTGCAATTGAAATTGATTTTTTTAATTTAATTCATTAAAACATAAACACTTAAATAATAAAATTAATGAGTAATTTAATAATAAAAAAGATGATGTGCCTTGCATTCCATAATTGCATTCCATAATACCAAAAAAATAGTAAGTAATTTTTTCACAAAAAATTCTTTATAGAATTAGGTTTATTCAAGCCTACTCCCGTCATGAATTTATTTCTAAAGTCGTTTGGATGGATCAATCTAGAAATGATTCAATTTGATCAATTGTCTCTTTTTATAAACGAGGCAATTAAAACGAGTCAATTAGAAATGATTCAATTTGACCAAAAACTCTAAAGTTAACACCCACCCCCCCCCCCCCCCCCCTCAAACACCATGGAAATCAGCAATAGCAAAGCCCCAAGTAGAGCTAGAGATGAGATTGGAACTACCTTGTCATCCCCAAGAAACAGAGGCGAGCGTCCAATCCTCTCATCCAACGGAGGCAGAGGCATCTCAATGATGTTGGGGAAGATGCTCACCGAGAACAGATTTGCTTTGGCTAAAGCGGCAGGGGCGGCACGCTACGCTTGGGGAGGATATGGAGAGGTGAACGTACAACCAACGGAGACCCAAAACCTATTCATCTTCACCTTCAACAATGAGGCAATTAGTGAGAAGATATGGAGGGACCGACCATGGAGCCTATCAAATACTCTAACGGCTGTCGAAAAATGCAACGGAAGAGGTAAACCAGAAGAAACTCCCATAGAGAAGGTAGCCATGTGGGTGCAGATTCATGGTATTCACCAAAACCAGAGGAGCGAGGAGAACATGGTGGCGATAGGCACTCATTATTTCCCAGGGATGCTCGACCTGGATAGAATGAGCTTGGAATTTACAGGATACATGAAGTTTCTGAGGATTCTTGTGGAGGTCAACATTGAAGAAACAATTCCAACCGGTTTTGACCTCCCATTCATAGACGAAATCACGGGAAAGGATTACTGCGATGTAATCGATTTCAAGTATGAGAGTTTGGTGGAATTGTGCTATTTCTGTGGGAGAGTAGGCCACAACTGGCCGACTTGCTGGAGGATGAACAAAGAAAGGAAGAGGAATGGAGTGGCTTACCTGTCTGAGGTATACAATTCCTCTCTCAAGGCGGGAATTGATTTTCCTCATAGGCACCATTCGGCCAACTACAGAAGCAGCAAGGAGGGGGAAGGCTCAAAAAGCTATCTGGCAGGAAGAGAGAGCGCGAGGTCGGGAAGCCAGAGCAGATCGGAAGGGGTAGAGGGAAGAGCTTCGTCGGGTTCGGAAGGCAGGTTCTCTGAAGGGAATCTTCAAATCCCTCCAGGTTTTACTGTGAGAAGGCTGGAAGAGGAGGTTCAAGGAGAGGAGGAGCAAATCGCGTAGGGGAGATGGAGAGGGAGGTACAGGGAAGAGATTGGGGCGATGAATTTGAACGTGGAGATGGATAGGGCGGCGGCGGCGATGGAGGCAGGGCTTCGATTGGAAGAGGGGAGAAGCGCTTAGGAAATGGGGCGGATTCCAGTGGCTGTGGAGACCATGTTGTCTCTTGGGACAACCCAAGCAATCACCCCAGCCCACCTGTCTGTCCCAGAAGGCCCATATGAAATAGCTTAGTATCAGCATGTACAAGATGAAAGGGAATGGGAGATGGGCCGAAAGCAAAAGAAAAGGAAGGGTATGGGCCTATTGGGTGGTAACAGGCCCAACGCCTATTTATGGGAGGGAGAAGCTATGTTTGATGGGCCAGATGGTGTCTTTCAAATGGGTGTGCCGGGGGAAGTATCCAAACGAAAGAATCTGAAGTTTAAGCCCGTGAGCCATAATACCGACAAAGGGAATCAGTCAGAAAGCGAGCAAGAGGGCCGAGGAAAGAAGAAAAAGGCAGCGGTGGTTCGCCAGAAGCCACCTCGTCAAGAATGAGTATGGTAAGTTGGAATTGTAGGGGTTTTGGCCCAACCCTTACAAGGAGTTATGCAAAACGTCTGTGTAGACGTTTAGGCCCTTCGATTGTTTTCCTCACGGAAACGAGCAAAAATGAGGCATTCATGGAGGAGCAAAGAAGAAGTCTCAGAATTTTCCCTAACAAAGAGTATGTGGAACCAGTTAACTCTTCAAGGGGCTTTGCGCTATGGTGGAAAGCGGGTATTAGCATTAATTTTTTAAGTAGTGATAGCTATTATATGGATTGTAGTATCGTTATGGGTAGGAAGTTCTTCTGTACTTTTGTTCATGCACCCTCTACCGCTGTTAGTAGAAGGGAATTTTGGGAGCATATAAGCTCTCTTTGGAGTAGTAGGGAGGATAACTGGGTTATTGTAGGGGACTTCAATGCTGCTATCTATGAAAGTGAGAAGGAGGGGAGATGCCCTCTTAGGTACGAGAATGTTGAACCTTTTAAAAGGTTTATTTTCGACAATGCTCTTATTGATATAGGGTTTAAAGGAGAACCCTTCACTTGGACCAATAAGCGTACTGGTGAAAATACAACGAGAGTCCGACTTGATCTAGTGTTGTGCTCGACTTCATGTCGTGTCCTATTCGGGGATGCAACCGTTTTCCATGAAAAGATGGTCGAGTCGGATCATTGCCCAATCAGGCTGGAGCTCTGTTATAGAGGGAATAGGAAAAGAAAGACACCCTTCAGAGTAGATGAAAGATGGTTGGAGAAGGATGAATGCACAAAGATAGTGGTCCGAGCTTGGGATCCAGGAGGGCAATCGTCAAACCAGCTAGCCAAATGCGAACAAGATCTTAAGGAGTGGTCAAAAGACTTTCACATGAACAGCCTACAAAGGGAGAAGGATATACTGGATCGACTTGATATTCTCCAACGGCCTCCAAGAACCCAGGAAAGAGTGGAGGAAGAAAAAAGTCTCATTCAGGAACTTTCTAAGATGTGGAGGGAGGAGGAGGCGTTCTGGAATCAGTGCTCAAGAGTTAAGTGGCTGCAGAAAGGTGATCAGAATAACTCCTTTTTTCATTCTAGCACGATCCATAGAAAGCATAAGAATAGAATTCTTAGACTAAAGGATGAGAGAGGCGATTGGGTCGAGGAAGAAGATAGGCTGAAAGGGTTGGCCCAGGATTTCCACAAAGACCTCTTTAGAGCTAGAGACCAGATTCCCTTTACCCACCTTCTAGATGGCTTCCCAAAAAAGGTTACAGAGGAGATGAATACTGCTCTTTGTGCCCCCAGTATCAAGTGAGGAAATCAGGAAAGCAGTATTCTCACTAGGAGCAAAAAAGGCTCCAGGTCCATATGGTTTCTCGAGTAGATTCTACCGAAGATTCTGGGATATTATTGGTGAAACGGTTTGTAGAGAGGTTAAGGAGTTTTTTGAGACAAGTACAATGCCGAATGGATGGAATGATATACATATAGTCATGATTCCTAAAGTGGACCACCCAGAATTGATAAGCCAGTTTCGACCTATTAGTTGCTGCAATTTTAGATATAAAATTATATTGAAGATTATGGCAACCCGATTGAAGATCTGGACGCCTAATATGATCTCGGAGCTTCAAACAGCTTTCACCGGAGGCCGGCTAATCTAAGACAATGTCATTATTGTCCATGAGGCCCTCCATCATTTCAAAAACCACAAGCGAGGAAGGAGAAGGGACATGATGCTCAAGTTGGACATGAATAAGGCATATGATATGGTGGACTGGGATTGTCTTGAAACTCTGCTGAAGAACTATGGGTTTGATGACAGATGGTGTAGATGGGTAAGCTCTTGCATCAGGACGGTCAACTTCTCCATCCTCTTCAATGGTGAAGCAGCAGAGGAGTTCAAACCGTCAAGGGGAATTAGACAGGGAGACCCTCTCTCTCCCTTCCTTTTCATTTTGATGTCTAATGCTCTTACTTTTCTGATTGATAAAGCGGTTTCCCAAAATCAGTTAAAAGGAATAAGGTTGAACGCGAGATGCCCGATTCTCACTCACTGCCTGTTTGCGGATGATACAGTGATCTTCGGAAAGGCTGATCTACAAGAAGCAGAGAAAATTCTGGATATAATAAGAGAGTATGGAGCCATCACGGGACAAGAAGTGAATATCAACAAATCATCTGTTTTCTTCAGTGCGAATGTACCCGATATGGACAAAGGTGCGATCATTGGTCATATCGGGTTTACCTCTTCCAACTGCCACTCCAAGTACTTAGGAGTACCGACGGAATGTGAGAATTCAAAGAAGGAAACTTTCCAATTCCTGATCCAGAGAATGGAGAAGATGGGTGAAGCATGGAAAAGCCTCCTCCTTTCTCATGGTGGGAAAGAAGTGTTGCTTAAAGTTGTCATCCAAGCCATTCCTTCCTACATCATGTACCTATTTAACCTCCCGGTGAATTTGACCAAGAAGATGGATTCCCTCCTCACCAACTTTTTCTGGTCGGGGTCAATGCAGAAAAGCACAATGCACTGGTGTAGGAAGGAAATCCTTTGTGCTCCAAAAGCAGAAGGGGGACTGGGGTTCAGAAGCTTCAAAGATTTTAACATGGCTTTGTTAGCAAAACAAGCATGGAGAATCATTAATTCCCTGATGCCTTATGCTGTCGGCTCCTGAAGGGTCTGTATTTCCTGAGAGATGGATTCCTGCAATCGAAAAAAGGAAGTAGATCCTCTTGGATTTGGGCAAGTCTGTGGGAGGCAAAAAAAAAAGTTATCAACATGAGGAGAGGATACTTGGATTGGTCAAGATCCATGGATTACGAACTTGCAAAATTTTGTCATAAGAAGCGGCCCCCAACAGAACCTGAGGGTAAAGGAATGGATCGACCCAGTTAGCAGGAGCTGGAACACGGAGCTGCTCCAAGGTCATGTGACGAGAGAAGAAGTGGAGGCTATTCTCAAAATCCCGATTGGGGAGGAGGGATCTGATGATTTATGGGCTTGGAGTCTCACCCATGAGGGTGAGTTCTCGGTCAAGACAGCCTACCACGCTGTTCATAAAGCCAACACAAATTTCCATTCGACAGGAAGTGAAGAGAAGTGGAAATGGATTTGGGGACTTAATATTCCACCTAAGCTTAATTTCTTTCTATGGAGATGCTCCAGAAACGGGTTGGCAACAAAAGAAAGACTCTTCCAACGTAAATGTGCTCTGAACCCGAATTGCGAAGTGTGCCATAACCCTATCGAGTCCCTTAATCACTCCATTTTCTACTGCCCTCATGATAGTGATTCGTGGAATAGTACTTTCCCATCCCTTCTGTTTCCTCCTCAGGGCACCTCTTTTTTCGATTGGTTCTGCTCTCTCAAAGATACCATCCCGCAAAACTCCCTAATTCATATTATCTACCTCTGTTGGAACATTTGGAAGGCAAGGAACGAGAGCACCTTCAAGAATCGGGCACCCTGGCCCCAAACGTGTGTATGCAAACCTATAGAGAGCTTACATAATGGATTGCTTGCCCGAGGCCCCCACCTTAAGGTTCTGATTGTCCCCCTCAGCTAAAGGGATCCCATCCTGCTACGAATCTACCGTCAACTAATCACTCGATAGTGATTCAATGTGATGGGTCATTTTTTAGCGACCCCCAGTCGGCGGCATATGGTGTTGTTTTCGTTAACCACCATGGACAAGTGTGTGATGGGAGAGCTGAAAATCTTCTTTGTTCCACCCCGATTGAAGCGAAAGCGAAGGCTCTTTTGGAATGAATTAAATTAGCACAAGAATATGGATCGGTGTGTATAGTTCAATCTGACTGTCAATTGTTGGTAAAGGCCCAGAACCATAATCAGTCTCGATGGCCCTGGAGATGTGCAACATGGATTGGAACAATGGTCAATATCCTTAGAACTAACCCAACTATTTCGATGAAAGAGGTTCCAAGGGCTTTGGACGTCAGAGCTGATTGGGTAGCACGATCAAAAGCTAAATCAATTCTACCAGATGACTGGATTAATATTTTTGATCTAATTTTTGTTCTCCTCTAATTGTAATGGCTTATGCATGTTTTTTCGTTTGGTGGAATAAAAGTTGATACTATTTGTAAAAAAAAAACTATTCTATCTAATGACCTCCCTCTGCTTTTACAAAAGAACGATATGATGGAATTTATGACTGATCATTTACTTGAAGAAAGAGTACAAGTACACTTGAAATCAATCAATCCAATTGTTTGACAGAAAAGTAATTAAAACTGACTGTTAAAGGGAGCCAATTGGTCAATGACTGACTTGGTTCATTAAATCTCCATCCCTCTTAAAGTTGTGCAGTTGAGCGTTGAGAGAGGAGAGGACAGATAGGCCTGATTTTTTTTATATAAAGGATGCCTTGGGAATTGGGATAGGGGCAAGTATATTCAAATAGTTATCATGTATTACCAAATAAAATAAATCTAAATTTTGTTAATCATAAGAATACAATATCATAACCGTCCAAAGTAATGCAATAATCAAATTACTCAAACTAAAGTTTAATTGGTTTGATTAATTGGTTAACCAGATTAACCAATATAACATCATATTATCATTAAGTGAGAATTTTTTTTGATTAGTATATCAATTCTAATTTATATGATGAGTAAAACATAACAATCAACACATAGATATAGTTAACTCTTAGCATAAATACATGCAACTAATACAATTATCTTACAGTCAATAATAGTATTCACCTAACAAAAATATATATCAACTGTATAGGGTTAATGAATTGTTCTGTCTATGCATAG